CACTAAGGCATATCCAAATCAACAAAAGCAGACAAGATACAATCAGGAGCTGGAGACAAAACTAACTCATAACCAAGACAGTTTGACCAAATTTGGTTAAGTGCACGAAGAACAAGAACCCACTGGGAAAAAGCAGGGGAAGGATAAAAAGGCCGTGGTGAAAGCATATCAATTGCAATGTCAAGAGGTAGGCGGGGATCGTCAGGCGGGCCCAAATCAAAACTAGCAGACAAACTAGCACGCAAATGTAGACACACAGAGACATGGGCACGCGACACTTCAGGGGCATCATGACAGTTCCTACAATAAGGTCGGGGGTTTGGAAACAGGCGGCCAAGCCGATATAGCAGGAACAAACGAAGACAATGATCTCATTGTTCCTATGCCTGTTGTGCCCCCACTTCATCCGTTGATGTTGCATTTTCAGTCTTTAGCTGTTGCGCATAATGGACCAATTGCAGTTTCGTTTGCCCCTGTCCTCAATTTGAAACTTCCACCCTTTGTTGCTACCCCCCACACCAACATCTCCCAACAGTATTTGTGACAAGCGGAAAAATAAGGAGATGAACCATAACCGACTGGAGATGACCGATAGAATTGCAACACAGCAGCTGGTAACAGAGGGCTGGAATCACTAGACCAGCGAGCAAACATACGTGCCTGAAGGTACTTCAGCCTGAACTCAAAAGTAGGAATTTGCGCTAACAGCAACAAACCAACACGCGAAGTGGTATGGGCTATCGAAAACAGACGACACAGTGCATGATAACAAAAACGCTCGAGTACCTGAAGCTGAGCAGTGGAAGGCCGAATAAGTGCTAAACCAAACTCAAGTGAAGGTCTAATAAAAGACAAAAACAACAACCTGGCAACACGAGGAGCAGACCCACCAAAGTACGAGACATAAGGTGCAAAAAGATACAATGAGGCACGAGCTTTCTCTAAGCGATGATCAATAGTTGCAGCAAGATCAAACCCTTCAATAGTAAAATAGTGACCAAGGTATCTAAATGAAACCTCTACAGGGAGGGCAGAGCCATGAAGCTTCAAGGGGGTGGGTAACCGTTGAGAAGATAACACAGCACACTTTGAAGGTGAAAACACAAAATGAGAAGCTAAAGCAAAATCTTTACAAATTTTCAATGCACGTTGGGCCTGCTCAGGGGTGGCAGAAAACAAAGCTATGTCATCAGCAAAAAACAACGAATTGAAAACAGGAGTGTTATAAGAAAACCTAGCAAGATGAGAAGATTCACGACGAAGGAGCTGTGCTAAAGGATTGATGAAAACTGAGTACAAGAACGGAGACAAAACAGAACCTTGAAAAAGACCTCGTGGAAGCGAAAACAAATCAGAAGAACGATTCTCTATAACAACCTGAGAAGAACAACGATCAAACATACTCATCAAAACAGAGATCAAACGGTTTGGAATTCTGGGAAATTGACGAAGACGTTCCCACAAAAGAGGCCTATGCACAGTATCATACGCTGCTTTAATATCTAAGAAAGTAACACAATAAGGCAGAGCAGTGCGGGAAGCCCGTCGAAGGGTAGCATCTAATGCAAAAACACACTCAACACCTGAACGATTGGCCTGGAAACCAGCTTGGGCGGGATCAAGTTTACCAACATGAGCTACAAGCATAGGAAGCAGGGTACACTCAAAGATTTTTCTATCAACATTGGTTAAAGTAATGGGGCGGTACTGACTAATATCACCAATGGAGCCCTTATTCTTCCAAACAGGTAACAACAAGCCAGCATTCCAGGCAGAGGGCGACAAACCTGAACGGAAAATAGCGTTTGAAAGTTGAACAAAAAGGATAGCAACATCAGAAGCTAACGGCTTAAATAACTCAGCTGGAATATGGTTTGAGCCAGGAGCAGAGTTGTTTGGGGAAGAACGAATAGCACAAACAAAGTCACTAACACTAACTGACACAGAATCATTCAGCGCATGTAGACGAACGTGTTCTGCACTGGCAGAGGATTGTGCAAACTGAGTCTGATAAACGGAGGCAAAGTGATTGCGATAATGAGATAAAGAGGCAGGATCAGACAATAAACCACTTGCAGCTGAGTGCCGTTGATGACACCTACGCGCGGTGGAAAGAACTTTGCTAACCTCGGTTAAAGAACTAGGAGAAGAACTAAACATATTGTCGCCAGAAGCCTCTCGAGCTCGCTGAGAAAGAGACCAAGTACGAAAAGCTTTGACACGCTCACGCGATAGCCGGTCACGCTCCAAGCGGCAATACTCAACTAAACCAGGATCAGGATCATCACAGGAAGAAACAGCTAAATAGTGCTTATGAGCAAGTAAGTAGCTCCGTCGCAAGGCCACTAAATGCGGCGGCAACAATGGCAGGGCAGGGCGACGGCGAACTAAACTGGGGGGTCCAATGACACAAGCAGCACATGAAGTAACAAAGGACAAAATAATATCCAATGCAGAGTCAATACATCCCTGTGCAACATCCACAGACATTTGGGCAAAGGCGGGAGCTTCTAAAATTGGACTGAGTGCAGCATTGCCATCAGCAAGGGTGGGATCAAAAAACAAATGTCCCACATCCTCCATTGCTTGAAAGACAGCAGGTTCACGCAACAGATGAGCAGCCCAGCGCTTGTGGGGGGGTGCAGCAGAGGGAGCGCTGGCATTGGGAGGAGCAAAAGAAAAAACAGCTGTAACCGGAAAATGGTCAGAAGCCCAAGGCATAAACTCGCCGTCGGCTAGACGACTATGAACTATGTAAGAAATAGGATCACATTGAAGCAGAGGATTGACAAACAACAAATCGATAATGGAGTCACCATTGCAAGAAGAAAATGTGGGGCTATGACAGGAAGGGTGCTTAACTAAAGAGAAACTAGCGGCACAAATAAATTGCTCAAACAACCTACCCCTACGATTTGAAGAATGATCACCAGTAGCTAAAAAACGGGCATTGAAATCGCCCAACAAAAGAACAGGGCACGGAGACGACGGGACATGTTGAGGAAGTGAAGCAATAAATTCTTCAAGGAAGGGGTCCTGAGCAATACCACACGGAGGCAAATAATACCCTCCAACCAAAAGCCCACGAAATGTAAACCATAGAGAGGTGCCACCATAACTAGAAACGAGACGGAAATCAGGAGCTCTACAAAGACTGCGATTGATCAAGACTCCCACACCAGCCCGTCGTGTACCCGATGACCCAGGAGAAAAACGAGTGTCAAAAATCAAATCTGGAGAAGGCAGCGGGTCTAAAGGAAAAAGGTGTGTTTCAGTCAGGAGCGGAAAAACAATGTGATTTGCGCGTATAAAACGAAACAGTGAATCAAGAACTCCAAAGCTCAAATTGCGACAATTGAAGGTACCAACTCGAACACTAATCATTGACGAAGATGGGTTGAGTGAGGCTGACGCGCAATCACGCGGGCACTGTCCAGCATAGTTTCCTGAGCATCCATGGGGAGCTGACCACGGACATACAGGAAAATAGCAGGATCAGTAACTGAACTGAGGATATGTGCATATCTCTTGTGGACAACTTCCCTGACCGCAGCCTCCCGCTGCTCCAAAGGCAGAGTAGAGGCTCGGCGAAGAAAGTCAGGGTTTGATTCGTCAGTGGAAGCTTCCTGGGTGGAGAAGTGCGCACGGAGAGCAATTGCAGTTGAGCGAATCCAGATAAAGGAAGCAATGTTGCGACCAACGAAACTGATGTGGCGGATACCACGCACCACCTCATCGCCCAAGAGAGCCCTCAGCATGGTCCGCACAAAGCCGAGCCGCTGTCTCATGATGTCCTTGATGTACACAGTGGTCAAATCATCCACACGGGCCTGAAGATCAGCAGGTGGGGAGACCAGCAGCGGAGAGGTCGGAGGATAGAATACGACAGGCCGAGGGCCACGAAGGCTGACATTCGAAGTGGGGTCACGACCAGCAAGGGCAGTCCTGACAGCTTCTGTACGAGATTCAGCACTCAGTGTGGGGAGACTCTCAAGCACACGGGCACGGGCATTGGCAGCAGCAGCGGCATAAGTGCGTGGACCACGAGGTCCACGTGGGGCAGGTCGACTAGACGGGGGGCGAGGGCCAGGAGCACCAGAGTTCCCAAGATCGTCCTGAATTGGAGGATTACCATGCAGTTGTCTAGGGGGAAGGCACACAGGCGCAGCCACATCATCATGGCGGGAGACTGGGGCAACCGGAGGTGAAGGCGAAGGCAGCGGCCTCCCAAAGCGACCCACCAGATCCTCGGCCATATCACGACAAACACTAAAAAATTCAGCAGGAGTGTCCCTCGGCAAATGTGCAAGCATAGGATCCAGCATCGCCAACGGATCAAAGGTTGCACAAACAGATCGCATCTGAGTGAGAACAACACGGAGATCGGCCAGAGATGCAACACTCGAGGGAGCAGCCACAGCAGCAAGAACCCGGACACCCGGCAGATGTGATCGGGAACGAGAACGGGAGCGACCACGGGGCAATTCATGTTCAGCAGGTCTTTTGGCGCGTCGGTCACGTGATCGGAAGTCACGTGATTCGGCATTTTCATCCTCCCCCATATTCACATCATCGGCCCAGTGAATTGGAGAGGCAGGAGCAGAGAATGGAAGCTGTGGAGCGGAATTTTCAACAGAGGAGGCACGGGGGTGCGAACGGGCCTCAAAAATCACGGTGCCACCAGAAAGTCCATCAGGGGGCACAGCGGGGGGTGCGGCGGGCGGCGCGGCATGCGGCGCATCAGGCGGCTGCGCATGCGGAGCGCTGGGAGGCGGCATTGATTTTTGAGAGAGAGTGAGAGAGAGAGAGAGAGAGAGAGAGAGAGAGAGAGAGAGAGAGAGAGAGAGAGAGGAGAGAGAGAGAGAGAGAGAGAGAGAGAGAGAGAGAGAGAGAGAGAGAGAGAGAGAGAGAGAGAGAGAGAGAGAGAGAGAGAGAGAGAGAGAGAGAGAGAGAGAGAGAGAGAGAGAGACGGACAGAGAGAGAGAGAGAGAGATGTGCAAGTCGGTGTGTCCGAGTGGTTAAGGAGTGTGACTAGAAATCACATGGGGTTTCCCCGCCTAGGTTCAAGTCCTAGCGCCGACGCTTTTAGTGCCCCATTGAAGGTCAAGTTATTCATTTAGCGAATCAGTGTGCAACGACCGCTTCTTCTTCTACACATGTTGGTGTGGGCAATTGGGAGTAAGTTAGACTTAGCTAACGCACGTGTGTTCGCTAAGATTTTTGGCCCCAATAAAATTTATGAGCGACCAATCAATGAGTGGGTCCCAAAAAGGCCCCGGCAGAAGGATGAGCGGCAACTCCCCTCCCACCCGTTGAAACTCTCCGGTTCTCCACCCCAATCAAACCAATCCCATCTATCCCAATATGATGCAATCACAGTTCAAAAGAGTAAACCTCTGTGAATTTGACCTAGCGCACGAATGGTTTGGTGCTGGTCTGAATAGCGGGGCATGGCAAGTCTAACTAATCTACAAAATTGGTGTTCATACTTCAGCGGGTGTCAAAATGGGGTGCTCAAACACCTGAGTGCGGTCATTTAATTTTATTGGTGGTGTTTGACACCCCCTAGTGCTCTTTTCGGGTCGTGAAGATCACTTTTGGATTGGTTGCCACTACACAGGCAACGCTTTTTCTGTTAGAGTTGTACAAGGTTCTGAAGTTTAGAACCACCAAGGAGAGGAACCGTTTTGCTATGTTAGGCTGACACATTGGTCCTCCTCTACGCCATTGTTTCTCAATTACATCCGCGTCGATGTCGTCCTTGTCCCCATCTAATGGGCCATCTCCATCCATCCACATCTTCGGTTTCACTTCGTTCAAGTGATTAATTGTAGGACAAACTGAGGAAGCTTCTGTTCAACATGTGGGAGTGTTTGAGACATTCTCGGTTACGTTAACAGGTCCGCCACACCGAGAATTGTGCAAAAGTTGTCTTTGATCATCAATTACAGCCAAAAACAAGACATAAATGCATTTGATATTGTAATGTTAGTTTCGAGAGTTCTTTCCTACACTGGACATGGTGGTACCCGTCACCATGGACTTGTTTCGCTTGATGGCAGCAGCGAACGCCTTCACCATGATGTTGAAGGTCTTCTCCATTTCGCGAATTTCAGTGAAGACGTTTTGTTCAGTGAGACCTCCTGAGCTTTCCAGAACAGAGAAATCAAACTTTGTCACCTGAATTCAAAAAGAATTCAACACCATGGGTTCAAATCATAAACAAACCAATAATCTCACCTGTGACATTAGCCTTGTCAAACTTCTGACAGGCCTGGTGATTCCAAACGCAATCACAGCAACTATGAAAATGCTCATGCATCCAAAGCCCACTGTTAATCCAATAGAGGTCTTCTGAGATTCGCGAATGTCATTGAAAAAGTCCGCGAATGGAATGGCTACAACTATGGCAACGGGTGTTGTGATGTTCAGCGACAGGGTATGGGACATGTAAAACCAGCTTCGAGACCCGTCTGATGACAGAGCTACGGAGTTAATCAATTTATCCAGCATCTTGACTTTTGAACTGTCGCCATTGACTTGATTTTGGATAAGCGTTCCAAGCTCGGTAATAATGGGATCGGGATGGTCCGTAACGGTGTCTGGTCATGAACACAAAACACAATTAAATAGTGTTTGAAAGTTACACATGTAAGTTTGCTCACAAAAGGTCTTTGATGTTTGGTTAATGTCATTGCCAATGCCATTTGTGCCGGCTACTTTCCAATCAGAGGTGATTGCAAATAATTTTGACCCAGCGGTAGGCTGAAGACTTGTGAACAATGCCTTGACCTGAGAGTGAGATCAATTAAATTGGCCTGATATGCTAGCAAAAGGCAAGACTGTATAACCCACCACTGTGGTCCCATCTACCACCACCGAGGCTCCAAAAACAACAGGTGAGCTCTTTGAGCACTTCCCGTAGGTCAAAGAGAACGCTCCGTTAAGGGTTTCAAACTTCCATGAACCAGTAGTAGGACAGGATGACAAAACTTGGCAAGGGTACAGAATTTTGCGCAGAGTCGGTTGTGGGAATGGTGCCTTCATGATAGGGAACTCCCCAGCACTACCGTTGCTTGGGTCAATGGGGTAAAGATAACAACCAGTTGTGTTTGTCCAGTCGCACTGTGTTATAGCATTGTTTCTGAGTAGCCATGTCACCTGTGTGATTATGTCAGTTGAGGTTCCGTCAGGGGTTTGTCCAGTGAGATTAAAAGGCTGGCATAGAGCTTCATAGATTGGATGTTTTTCAATCCCTACTATCACGATCAAACTTCGATACGTACATAAAATCGACTTCTTGAGTGGCTCAGTTTGACCCAGCTGATCGAACATGAAGTAGTTAATCCTTGGATCTCTGAAGTAAGGTGGGGGTCCACTGAAAAGATTAATAATGGCTGGATTGGAAGCGATTGCTGTAGTAACGTGCTCGGCGGCCAATAGCTCGGTAGTTATCCCAGCTACCACCTGGGCCACTGTATCCTGTTCGTGGTACCCAGTTACTCAAACAGCAGCATATCCAAAAAATCTCTACTGCAGACCACTTACTGAGAGAATAACCTGCGAAAGTGAACTAGTGGACATTTCCATTGTCCTGAAAAGAACAACACATGCCTAAACAGTCTTTCAATCATTCTGATAACATGCACCTAGAATCCTTAATACAGGGATAATAGCAAGCGCGATTGCGGGAATCATTGTCACCATCAAGGAGAGTTGAAGTGGAATAGCAGGAAATCTGGCTGCTTTGGTGCTTCCTTTTGCCTCCTTTGCTAGCTCTCCAACTCCGATATTGACAGTGGTGGCAATTTCTGGGTTCTCCATGGTCGATGGGCAAGTGAGTATAGTTTCTGCTTAGATCAGCGCTCCGTAGTTATCAGTTCTGCTTTTGAGCTTGGAAAGTGAGCGATCGCTATTGTTTGTTTGGCACTTTAATTCAAAACCTGAAGCGCTTATAAACAGGACCTGATTGGTTTGAAAATAAAAGATGGAGCCCGGCATGGTCTTAACTGCTTTTAATAGTTGTTTAGTATTCGTTTTACTTCGGTGCACATTTTCGTGATCATGGGGTTCTTCCGCATGAACTGTTCTTAGTAAATAGCAACGGTTCCAAAGCCACGAACTTTATAGCAAGTTGGGAAGTCCATGCTTGGCGATCAGCGCCGCAAAGTCGTCCTTTACCCGATTCCTTTGTTGATCCATCCGTTCTTGACGCCGCTTGAGGGATTCTTTCGCCTCGTCGAGGTCATTCTTCGCCCGTTGACCAGTCTCATTCCATTTTCTAGTCCCAAGCAGTGAACAACCACAACTGTAAATTCTCATGACACATATTCGCTATCAGGACTTACACACAGAGCTCCATCAACTTCCGCAATCCTGTCACAATTGCTTCACATCCATCTGTAATATTCCGATCAAACTCACGATCGTTGATAAGTTCGATCACCAAAATTTTTACCGTTCACTTTCGTCTCCAATTCCTCTACAGAGAGCACTTCCGCGACTTTCGATTCATCGATGTCGGCATCTTCATCTTTGATGTCAGCGGTGTCATCTTCGCGTCTTGCATCGCTCGCAACGAGTTCATCTTTCTTGGAAAGTAGTTCAGCTTTTTCAACTCTGGAGCTGCGATGAGGTTCGTCTTCCGTCAGGTCAATGTCATGGCTGCTTTCATGGGAACGGATACGCTTGTTCCTTGAGTCCGACGCACGGTCCTCGATTAAACTTCCATCTATTATGTCATTCGATCGATGCTTTCCGTTCCTTCGCGCAATTTCTGATTGCCTCTCTGATACTTCAACCTAGTGTGTTGGGGTGAGAAGTTGGAATTGTGGAAACAGGTTGACACACCGGTTCGGTGAACGAGACATTTTCATAGTCTTGAACTGGATCTTCAATATTTCCAGCTCCTTCGTCGAACATCACTGTGCTATCATTGTCATCAGCAGCGAGCTCACTGTAGGCTTCTGGTAGCTGGTCATATCTGTCACTAATTTTCCCACGCTTCTTTGCATGTCCTACAACCTGATAACGGGGGCCATTTTCTCCGGTGGAATCCCAGCTACGAACATTGGAACCCCAGCTTGAGTACCCATAGGGCTCGTTCTGGTTTAGATCGCTCCTGTAGCTTGACGAATATGTTGGCGCAGGCGCAAGCCGTCGACCAGTCCGATTCGGTAGAGTGTTTCGAGCTGACCAGTTGGTCGGTAACGCCCTGCTATCAGAATTGATCCAGTAAATGCTTCGGTTTGGGCTACACGACTGTGTATTTCCGCAAAATCTTGGAAGTACCTTTTGGACGACATCAACGGGGAGACATCCTGGAGCTGAGGTACCAGGTTTGACGCCGGTAGACCAGCCGAGGCAGTCAGGCGCTGTGGGATCCCCAACCTGACCAGTGATCCTGAACGAGTAGCAGGGGAGGGTTGGGACATGGTTACTGAGCGAACCCAAAAAGGAAACATTCGGGAATTCTTTTTAAAACGACCGCACTAAAAAAGCATCTATTCATACTACGGTGCAGTCACAGAATCCAGGAATTGCTTGACCTCTTGCTCATTGCGAAGGCCAGTGAATTGATCGACAACCTTCCCGTTGCGGAATGCGATGACTGTTGGCAAAGAGACGATCTGAGAAAAACAAAGAAAGCAGTTTGAATAATTCAATGTTAAACCATATGGAGGATTTTTATCGCAAAGCATACCTCATACTTAGCGGTCACTTCCTCGTTCTTATCTACGTCGATCTTGACCAAGATCGCCTTGTCGTTCTCACGAACTGCCTTTTGCAGAACAGGTGCAAGCAGTTTGCAAGGGCCGCACCATCTGAGGCCAATAAGTGCCGTTTCAGCAAATGGCAATGCGGAAAATTATCAGCATATGAACTTGACATCATGCAGCATATTTGCTTACGTCGCGTAGAAGTCTACAAGGACTGGGACGTTCCCTGAGCTTAAGAGGATGTCGTTGAAATCAGCATCTGTCGCCTCAACAGTTGATCCCAGCCCAGGAGCTTTTGATTGAAGAGGTGCAGCAGAATGGAATGGTCGGGCTACTGCTGAGAAAACTGTTATCCTCGACGAA